GATAGATAGATAGATAGATAGATAGATAGATAGATAGATAGATAGATTCATTTTGAAATTTGACAACTATATTAGAGAGAACCTACATTGTGTTGGAAGCTCCACTATCTCTAGCCCAAAAGCAAACTTTAAGGACTGAATTAAACAGTGAAACTATGAGAAACTCCATCCACTTTATCAGTATCCAAAACAGTCTCAGATAACAACACTACAAGTTATTCCAGCCACCAAATTAGAAGAGCCTTCTGCCTCTTCTCTCTTACTTCCTAATAATTGTATTTCAGCACCTTTTATATCTGACTTGAAGTCAGCACCCAGAAACGACAGTACACAACAGACAAATCAGAGATGGATGGAACATGATGTCAGAATGTTTGAAGTTAGCAAAGTTATGAGGCATGTACTGGAATATGAGAGGAGAAAAAAATAGATAAACTGAGCTTCATACAGATTCTCAACACAGAAGGATGAGTTGGGAAAGGAGATGACAATGGCGTTGGGTAGGGAAGATTCAATGAATGATTCCAGTTTTCTCTCAAGCTTTTTCTTAGTGCTGCATAGTGACTTAAGAAGATTGTTAAAAAGGAAACATTTATCAAACTATGATGTCATAAATACACTGAGAAGCAGCACTTCATTGGGTACATTAATAAATGTAGTTAAAATATAATTGATTAGGAATAGCAAGGTTATTCAAAAACTATAATATCTTAACACTACCATTGCAAAAAACAGCAAAACGAAGGAAATCCAGGTATCGTTCTCCTTCAACTGGGTTCCATCCAATATCTGGATAGCCTTTAGAAATTAGTAAAGGACAGTTCTGCAAACCACAGCCAGCCAAGTAGCGGACTACCTAAGAACAAGACAAAATTAAACAATAGAAGCATTTACTGCCCTTGTCCCTCCCCCTCTATGTATCTATATTTTACCAATGACTAAATTCCATAGTCATCTTATAACTTATTACCCAATTTGAAGTGTGCCATTATACATTTCATACTCCTAGAATCTTCCTCTCTTCTCCATCATGGTTCTTTAAATTTTCATCTACAATTCTCAGACTGTCCTTTTGTCCACAGTACCATCATAGTCTTAGCTCCTTTACCCTCAACACTATGAAAAACCTTTGGTTTAAGCATAGTTCATTGTATTTACCTTTATTAACAATCTCAATACATCTACAGAAAAAATGAATGTACTAAAATTTCTAAATTTATTTTTATTCTGGAAATTGTATACAGTTCTGATATTGATCTTATGCTAGTGATCACTTTTTAATGAATTGTACAATGGGTGCTTCTGTCTCCTATTGTTTTTTGTGTTGCTCCCAAAGGCTCGTAGCATTTTCTGTCCACAGATCTACCTTCCAAGAGAGTTTTGTGCTTTTAAGATGAAACTAAAACCAAGCTTCCTTCTCTCTCTCTCTCTCCCACCCTCCCTCCCTGTGTGGGGGGGTGGGGGGGAGTTTCATATAAGTTAACTGCTGTATCCAAAATCGTGGTCCATCACTGGCATTTTCACTCACAGATTCTGTGGGAATCTACTGTATATTGCACCATAATATCAAAATAAGATCCCTACCTCAAAATGTTTTTGACTGGAGTTGCTGGCATAACCAATCAGCTATTAAACTTCTAGGTGACAGTATGAATTGTAAGTCCTGTCATATATGGGGTTTTTGTATATGAAAATTACATTGCTAATAGGATGTAGACTGTTGTTACTATATGATAAGAAACATATGCGTACTTACAAAATATAGATTCTATAATATTATTTATGATTTACCTTCTCTAAGTCAGGTTCTCTTAAAGCCAGTGCAAGCTCATTATTATCCATTACCGATGCTGCTGCAACATCTAAAGGTGTTGATCCACGCATGGAAGGAGAAGCTATCAAATAAATTTCAGAAATTGGCATCATGTTAAAACAGCACAAAATCCTATTAACAAAATATAGCAAGTAAATTAACTAAATGAAATTGATTCAAATTAGAAAACTACAGTTTATAATATACAGCCATGCTTTTGTTGAGTCAATATCATCCAAATAATACAACACTTGTATTTATTGTACATTGAAGTTTTACTCCATATACCAACTAAGCATACGTTTTCAGTATTTAGGAGATGTGAGGATGCAGTACATCCTTTCCAAGCAGGCTAAACTACATAAATGGTCAGCCAGGGAATTCAATGCCTGACAGGTAATACTATTTAGTAAGAATAATTCATTATTAAGAGGTGTTGGAAGCCTTGAAACATCTTAGAATGGATATACAAAGCAGCCATTAATTTGTGAACTCCAAAAAGATTTAACAGCAATAAATACAAAATGGGTAGTGTACTGTAGGGAAAATATAATACATATTTACCAAGTCCAACACTGCTGTTTTCCAAAAGATAGCTTAGATGGTCGAACATGGCTTTCTGATTCTGTCTGCTGATGCGGCAAAAATAACATAGAAAACGACAGCAGTTTGCCACCATCTTAGGAAAGGTGATTTCCTAGACAAACAGTACTACGTTAGAAAAGCAAGAATAGTGTATATGTGTGTGTAAGTATGTGTGTGTGTGTGTGTGTGTATAGACACATACATACATACACATACACACACACACCCCTCAGGATAAAGTTATTTCCTTTTTCATGTAATTTTCTGCAAAACTACTCAAATACTATATCTAGATACATATCTGAGAATAGTAAAAATCTTGATTACTTAAATTTGGGCTCCATTAAAGTTGGTTCTGTGCATTATAAAACGAAGCCATCACAGGGAGAAAAACCTAAAATTGACACATTGAGGTTTGGTCATAATAGATAAATGGAGAGTTCAGCTCAGTTCCATTATTCATGAGATTAAAAATTGTAAACCAAATAATCTCCATCCATTAGTTTAAAAAAAACACATAGGATGTGACCTTTATTGTCAAACAAATCAGTGCTGGCTCCACTGTAAAAATTCTCTGGCAGAAGTAGGGCAGGGGGCATGAAATATGTATTGTGATCCAAATGTCTGCATGTGTGCCTCTGACATTTGAATGCAAGTAATAGATTAATACAAGAACAGAACTTGTGCTATGATACCACAGAGTGAAGATTCCAATGCACTCTGGCAAATTTTTAAACGAAGGAAAATTCTAAGTATATAACCAAGAAAATCCCAGCATCCTAAGAATTTCCTAATAGGACAAAAGTGCTGTTTTGGGAAAAGATGGCTCTGGTTTAAAAAAAACAACAACTATTCCATCAAGTATCCCATCAAGTATCCCATCAGATCTCTATTGTTGATCTGCTCTCTGACATTTCCAGAATGTTTTTCCCTTTCTCCTCACAAATCAAGGGATTTTGCTTTGAAAAATCCCCCTCCATGTTCTCATTTTTTATGCAGATTCTATAATTTCGATCCCTCTACCTTCAAAACTTTCCCTCTGGTCAAAGAAAGACTTTTCCATCAAATTTACTGCCCAACATAAATTTAATTCTAAATTTTGTTATTGGCAGAATGAAAAGTAGAACGATTTCCTAGGATCAAAGCATATGTTGGACAAAATGTATGGTCTGCTGGAGTAACTTCCACCTAGATCCCATCTATTCATTAATAATCTGCAACTAGGCAAGATATTACCAAAATGATTTTTAAGATCACACTGCAACAGGATTATTCTGTATAAGAGTATGTAATCTATGAACAACACCTCAGAGGTCAATAATGAAAGTTTTGAAAGCCACCCATCTCACTGATTCAAGTAATCCCTTCTTTGAAAATGACCATGATAGCTCTATCTCTTAGATAATACAGTCTTAACTGCTTCTACTACCAACCCTGTTTTCATACTTTAGAATTATTGCTGAATTTTTCTGAAATGTTTTAATGTCAGCCGATTAAGATAATGTCAGCCGATTAAGCTTGCTGACCTTTTCCATCATTATATGCCTGTTATTATATGACAGGACACAACTGTGACATGAAATTAAAGTATTGCCTCAACCTTTTCCCCCTTTCTCTCACTATTTCCTTGCATAAATGTTTGGCCAGCCCATGCCACAAGTTCTCTTCACAATTGGTTTCAGTAGTCATTGTTCACTAGACTTTTCCTTATTAAGTAGACAGAATTCAACATAAAGTATCTCTACATTTATCTATAGAGAAGCTTACCTGCAGAAATCAAAAAGGTAACAAATAACTAAAGTGATGTATTTCAATATCCTTTCAAATAAATGCACACTAGACAATATTAACACATTGAAATGTATGCCAATTAATGTACACATTCCTAAAAAAATATCCTGTGTAGACTTAATTTTAATGACCAGTTGGAAACAGAAGGTTCAGAAATATGCTATTGTAGTTTCATTTTTCACTTGCACATATTTCTTCATTTGATCACAGCCAAACAGGATTGTATATTGTACTTATCATTTGATGGAGGATGGAGAAAGAAATGGAAAAATAACCCACATAGAAATGTAATTGTGCATCTAAGTACAGATGTTTGCTAACTAGTTTATATACAGTGGTGACCTCAGTAGTTGATAAATGCACACACAGAGAGAGACCAATTCCACTTCCCATCAAAATCATAGAGTTCAGACAGTATATTAGCGTTTGGATAAAGGGCCAGTTTAGGGCTAATTATAGTTCTACAAAATAAACTGTCCCTGTAAAGCCTGTAAAATTTTATTTTAATAAAATTTGGGCATCTAATTTCATGAACTGAAATACATGACAATTAGCATCAACATGGATAAAGTGGTCACTCCCAGGTTATCATTAAATAGCTCAGACTATCTATTGCTCCCGCTGTCTGAGAAAAACTTAACTGGGAATCATTTGGTAAGCAAAAAAAATCAGCTGAGGTACTGGATGTGCACCCATAGCCCCACAATATGCCAACATATTAATGATTGACCTAGAAAAATGTTTCTTCAGTTCTGAATCATCAAACCTTAATGGAACTTATGTTAAGTTAATGTTCTCATTGTTCCATTAAGACCATGACACCATCAGCCTAAGTCTGTTCCACTCTACAGAATAAAACCACTACATTTATGTCATACTACAATTACCTGATTCAAAAACATCATGTTAAACAGGAACCTATAGACTGACATGCATACGTTCACGTTCCAGATTCCATTTAGAATATATCATCCAACCTGCTTTCTGTAGCCAGTATCTACATTACAATCACATTTGTTCTGACTCATGAGGCAAAGATAGCTAACTGATGGACTTAAACAAAACATTCAACAAGATCAATACATAAATCAATAGAGCTAGATTTATTCCCAGGGAGAAACCACAAAAACAGATTTCTGCTGACCTACAGCTCATAACTGAAGCCACTCGATGCATTTTTAATAAGTATACTACAATAGATGCAAGCATTCTACTTTCTGAGGCATTTGGTGATAGATTCTTACTTGAATACAGACAACCAATAAATCCAACCTTGCTCATTCCAATAAATTTAAATCATACCTCCTTTAAGCTACTTCATATCTCTGATGAAATAAGCCACAGGTCAGAAAAGGCTATTAACAACTTTGTTACTCTTAAAAGATGCTACCAGATTCTTTCTGACTATTGGCGAGGACAATATTAATTTGAAAATTTGCAATGGAAAGCTCTTAGTGAAACCGGGTAATGTTCAGAACTTTCATAATGAACTGACAGCAAAATCCATATATAAACCTTCACTTAATAGTGATTGCTCTGTTTGCAGCTGCAACAGAATTATTTAAACTTATTTATCATTCTTAGACGTAGGTGACCATTATTAAATATGCAAATTTGCAAATTTCCCAAATTAAACCAAATAAGATCTTGTCTTCAACAAGAGTTAAGCAACTTTGCCTGGCATTAGAGCCAAAATTTAAATGTATATCATTCTTATACATTACCTTTGATTCTCCTCCTCCAAGTACATTCACCATTACTTCCATGACCGTCTCATGCATCCCCAATGCCCTCATAAGATTAGGATGCTGATAAAAAACTTTATTGTTCATAATGTCCCTATTAGAAATAGAATAGTAAAAAAAGAAAAAGTAAATTGAAATCTCAATCCTTTTATATCTAGTTATAAAATGTTACTGACCAATCCATACCATTTAATGTGGTTTTTAAAAATAAAAAACTGAAATTTATTCAAAGTATCCTAGAGTAGATATTCTAAAACTGAAGGGTCACAAGCAAATCACTGGGGTTTCACACATCCCTCCCACTCTGCCTGAACATATCTCAAAGCTCCTAGGAAGGCTTTCTGAACACCATCCTTTTCTCTCCCTCAAAATAATGATGTAAATGAACACATTTACATAAATTGGTGAATTAGATTGAATTTGAAACTCTGTGAATTCAAGTGACAGCATAAAGAAAGTTTTGTTTTTTTAAAAAAAAAGAGTTATCATTACTACTTTTCAAATTAAAATGGGGTCCTAAGATCAAAATATTTGAGAACCACTAAAGTATGGGCAAGGATTCTTTTAGTTATTTTTAGTTGAAAACGAAATATTTTCATATAATAATTCAAAAATAAAATAACAATATGAGAAATGAAAACAACACATTCAGTTGCAAAAAGCAGGTTTTACGTCTCTTTGATTTTTAATCTGAGTTCCACTGGTTTATTCTCTTCAAGGGAAAAAAAGATTGCTATTTTCTAATGGCTCATCGGTTAAATTAAGTCAGGGCTGTTGTTTATTGAATATGGATGATGCAGAATTATTTCTATGAGATCTTTAAAAAAATCATATATTGTTGTATAAGCCAGACTTTTAAAAATCAATATATAAAGAGATGAAAAATGTGATACTGATATGCTTGATTTATAGGAAGAAAGCATTATGGTTTAAGTTGTCTAGAAAACATATTACTTTGATCTCAGAAACCTTAAAAAGAAAGTTAATATATTTAAAAAAAAACACATTTCCTATTTCTAAAAATGGCATCTGCTATCTTTCCCATATCTTATCTATATTTCCCCCATGAAATTATCAAATAGTATATATATTTTTAGAATAATATTTAGTTCATTCAAGAAAAGTTAAAATACAAAACACCAATATTTTGGTTTTTCGTTCTTTAAAAAAAAGAAAGAAATTATCAAATATTATCATGTGTTCTCAAGGAACCCGATCATTGTTTGGATTATTTCAATTTGAGTCAGAAGCCATAAAAATTAATTATAAATAAGCAGTATTCTAGTTTTTTGTTTCACATATTAGCCTACTTATCTACAATGTGAATTCTTTGAAGCCTATGAGAATAAACTTCTACCACTGTCTTCTCTGCTAGTAATCAACGAAAGGCAATTATACAACTTTTAGATTATCAGTAGAAAGGGAGTTTTACCCTAATCCACGAATCATAAGTTTCTCTTCTTCTTTGCCCATTCTAACACTGAGGAGAGAACGGATCTGGCCAAGAGATGCAAGCAAGTTGATGGTATCTTCCACTGATACACCATTTATAGTATATGTCTTGGGCATGGCTCGAACTAGGCCACCAACCCCATCATATTGGCGGTGTAGCAAAACAAACATGGCTCTCACCAACTCTGGGTCTTCTATTACAGATTCTTGAGCCCAACGTACCATAGTTTCTGATATCAGCTGTTGGAGAGTTGCTAGATGTAGAAAGCATTAAGACAAACATACAACAAGACCTTTTTTTCACTTTTAACAATAATCATCACATGCTATGCCAATTTGGATTAGAAATTCAGAACGATTAATTTCTGAAAAAAGCAAATCATCAAATAATACATAATCAAATTAGAAATTATATGTGTAAAAAGTACAGAGTCAATTGGAGATGAAGAAAGAGTTGCTTCACTAGATTTTGGGCTAGAAAAATCCAAATTATTTTTTAAAGGATCATAATAAAAAAAACATTCTTTAAAACAAAATTACAAACTGAAGATAATCATTTAACCAATTGAATTTATAAAGCAAATGGATGAATGTCAATATAATAATCTCCTATCAAATAATGATGAGAAAAGGAGACTGAAAATATGATAAACTGCTGTCATGCAATGACCATCATTCCTATGCATATGTGTTCCAGAATAAAAATAAAAATATATAAATGTATATAAAATCTGATGGGTCACATTGCAGAAGAGAGTTGCCCTAACTATGAAACTTCCAGAAAGAAAGAAGTAAAGAATTTAGTGTAAGTAAATCCTTGCACGCATCATTTTCATTCCCTACCGAAGACCATACACCTACTCCCCCACCCAGAAACACACATTAATGCATTCTTACTAGTGGAAAATTACTCTTTTGCTCAGTATTTTGTTAGCCTATCTGAATTCCACTTGTTTTGCATCCCATCAGTTCAATAAGGATTTTCCAGAAGCTACAGCTTCTTAGTCAGCACTTTCGAATGTAGTATTAAGTTCCAGAACATGCAATAATTTCAGAATATAAAAAATTAAAATACTGAATTGATAGACATTTAATTCTGAAAGAGATTATAGTATCAGAATGAGAGAATTATTAAACTATGCTTACTTTAGATTCAGGTAACAACTAAACCTTATTTTACTTTACTTACATGGTTTCTTGTTATTATCATCAACTAGCTTCTCTGCTTGTTTCTTTTTCAAGTGTGTGACTCTTTCTACAAGATATAGCAGGCGACCTTTAATAGTTAAATCACTGTTTCCATCTAGAATTCCATCTTCGTCAAGCTGAATACCTAGACATAAATATCAAATATTTATGATAGCATTAAAACAACTAAACAATATTATCTGTATTCATTTCCAAGACTATCTTCAGAACTTGAGAGAAGTTAGTAGTACGGTGCTTCGTTATTTGAAATCATGCCTGGCCATAATTTTAGACTATTCCAGAAATCAATCTTTTAATTAGAAAAATGAAGTGAATGTTGATTCCAAAAAAGCATTAAGAGTTTTCAATACAGCTACCATAATTTGATTGATATTTTCAAGAACATCATTTATTGATGTATAACTTCACATAACTTGTCCTTTTCGGCATTGCAAAAGAGCATCCTAATGGTAAACCAGGGGCAGAAGGCGTGTGCTATACTCTGCCAATATTATGGAGACTACATTTCAAATTCAAAACCTAGTTCTGGAAAAAAAAATTGACCAAGTCCTGTCAATTTTATCTTAGAGGCTCAACATGATTTCCCTAAAACTAGATCAAGGCATCTGTTTTTACATGAGACAGCAGGTTCTTGAAGACAATATGGATACTGCAGTTTTAACACTGTATTCAATATAATTTTAAGTCTTTGTATTAGAGTTATATTTCAATCTACCATATTTTGTTCAATAAAACTATCAGTATTTTATTTTCCTTAATATTTGGAGCAGGGAAAGAATATTCAAAGTTCAGCTTTACCGCAATGTGCCATCAGATCTTCATGAAAATCCAGGAGATGATCCCTGATTTCTTCAGGACAAGGACAATCATTTTTATCATCCTTAAAATTCAGCAGCATGTTGATCTTTAAAAGTGAATATATATTTGAAGTAATATGTAACAGGTGATATGTAGGTAGAATGAAACATTTACTACAATATTATTAGACTGAAGTCATGTTTTGAAACTTCCCATGGAAGGAAAGGATGGAAAGAAATACATGATCATTCTAATGAATTATCATTATAGTCACATTATATTTAGTACAGCTCAGTAATTCAGTTCCCATAAGATATATTGAAAGAAATGATGCAGCCACATCTTTGTCTCTTGACTTGTATTACGACATTATCAATGTCATCTAGGATTCCTTTTAGTACTTGTTAGAGATGGTTTAAATGGTGTTCAGGATTTTAAAACTTAAATTAAAAATGGGCACCCTAATTTATCCTGTGTAATTATTTAATAATTTTAATTTATCCTTTCACCAATAGCAAGGCTCACAAATAAAATCTCTTGGCACATACATAATGCTGCATTTTACCCATGCTGAGTTTTACTTCTGTGCATCAAAAGTTTAAAAGAGAGCAAGATAAGGAACTAAAAGGGCAACTATTGTTCTTTACTTAGTACAGGCTCCATGACCCATAACTTGTGCTAAAAGATCCCTATTAAGAGCAAAATAGGGGACAGCATGCTTGGGGGTAGGACTGGAGGGAAGATGTCAACAGTGTTTGCCTCACTCTTTAGAATCAGAATTCCAATAACTTGTTTATACAACAGTTAGTAATGAATATCCAAGGCACATTCAGATTGCCTGAAGATACATACTTCAAGGATAGAAGAGAATATTTCAATCTACATTCAGTCATAAACAATTGAATTAATGTCAGGCCTGATCCATATTTTTCACGGATGGCAAAATGCTTATCAAAAGTGACTGCTGCTTGTTAAAACACAATAGCCAAACATTATGGAAATCAGAATTTTTATTCACCAAAGCAGTTTAACTTTTATTTAATGTCTGGTGTACTCTGGTCCAGGAAAATTATTACTTTGTACAGATTTTCTTTAAACTGAACAAACCCCAATATTAAAGTATTTATTAGGTTATTAACCTGCTCTTGTGGTGGGGATCGAAATTCTTTCGTTTTCTTGGCTGTCAGAGCTGCAGACATATTTAAAGCCTGCATAACTTCATTATATCGGAAACGCTGATTTTCTTGAAGTTTTGCTACAAAATCATCTGAAAATGCTACAATGGCTTCTATTCTGTGGCGTATCTGGAAGTCACACAGATATTGGAGTAAATGGCACATCTGAAATAAAATTAATAGAACAAAACAAATGAGGTAACATAGTTTTAAAACTACAATTTCAAATATGGGGTATTCCTTTTATTTAACTTGGGTCATTTCTCTTTTTTAATCCAACCCATGTCCATTGTCATCTGTTTCTATTTTTTAAACCTTTTATTCTCTCCATTTCAAAACACTGAAAAATTCAATTTTCTACCCTTATCTTTCCCTCAGCTTAAAATTTTAATTTCCTTTTGACTACATTATTTGTGATTAATGTATTATTTATTGCATATTGACAGTTTTATTCTGTCAATTTTTTTCTTCTCAACATTCTTCTCAATATGCATATTGTAAATATTCTTTTCTATTTGTATCCACTTTTGTCGATATCTAGAACCTTTTCTTAAATTGCCAACCCAAATTTTTCTTTGTTTATGTTTGTATGTATAAAGGGACATAAATGTGTCTCAAGTAGAAAAATAATCCACAAAATATATTAACTATGCATTATTTCATGATTACCTGTAATTTGACGGGCTCAGGAAGCTTCATTTGAAGAAGTCCTTCTTCTGGAACCTTCTCTCTTCTGATTTTATCCACAGCTGTTTCTAAATTTAGACTTTCTGTAACTAGTTCCTTTGCTAATATTCGGGTTTTATCTTCATGGCCTTTATCTTCTTTAAACACACTGGTCTCAATGAGCTGCAAGATATGCTTCAGATCTTCATTGTGGAAGACTCCCATTATAAGAAGGGTATAAAAAAGCTTGATCAAAGGAACAAACAGAAATTCTGTAGTACCACCTACAGGATCTCTGACATGTAGGCTACCCTCCTGAACTGCTTCTGTCAACATCTCTATGGTTTTAGACTTTAAAATTTCTAAAGGAAATTCAGGACTATATTGGTAGCACTCACTATTAATTCTCACAAAACTGGGAGAAGAAAACTGTATTCTGGGTCGTAAAGATGTACTAAGCCCGATACCTGGTAGGCCATGTTTTTTGTGTTCATCTGGAAACAAAGTAATGCTTTTAGTCTCATCTGTCATTGGGACAATGAATTCATTGTTCATCATCAACCTTGCAGTGGCATAGCTATTAAGGTGAATATCAATTAGAAGATCATAATAGCCCGCACGTAACAAGCCTGGCATGTATTTGTTCTCAATTGCATAGAGAAGCTGAGATTCATCAACATGGCTGCACATAGCATGTGCAACTCTGTTATTCCCAAGAGCACAAACCGCTGAGTATAGCCTGAGAGTATGATAATGAAACTTTAGCAGTTCTTCTTGTTCTGACAGTTCTAAAATATCTATAGACCTGCAATAAAAAAAAGGAAAATAATTAAACATAGCAGATTTGAGGTTTTTTGTGTAGAAAATGCTTTTACATCCATACAATCAGCTTTCTAAGAACAAGTTCACAATTATTATCTTACCAATAAGTCAGTCAATTGATAAGGCTTACAATCTAGTGAACACATTTACATATGCAAACATGGAAGCAAGCTTAGTTAGACTTTCAACTATTTCCAAATTAGCTTTCTAAGCGACTAAGTATAACTCTTTATTGAGTAATTAAAATTTTTCACCAAGAATTTAGTTTCTTTCTTAGCACTTCGATGTATTCAGTAACTATACCTAACAATTGTTAGATAATATTATTTATCCTTTGGAATTAAAGACACAGTCTTCTACTGGGAATAACCATGACTAATAGAAGATGACATCTTTTGCAAAGAAAGACTTAAAGGTATTTCCTGTGATTGAAGAACATTAGTTGAAGGAAGCAAAAATAGATTATGGGAAAGTATCTAGAAAGTAACAAGCTGTTAGTTCATGGCCTTAGCCATGAAAGGCAGCTGAGTGACTTTGAGACAGTCATTCTCTCTCAATCCAACCTACCTCATAGGGGTAGGTTATTTTGTGGGGAAATAGGAGGAAGAAGTTGTGTTGGATATATTCACTGCCTTAAGTTATTTATACGAATAATGAAGGTGAGATATACAAAATAAAAAAGTAAAATAAAATACAGGTGATAAATAGTATTGATGTAAACTAGATTTACCTAGTTTCAATTTTCTTTTCCTATTGCCCTCCTTCCCTTTGCATATTTGATAGTATTTTATGAATATATACTAACATATCATTTTTTCCAGATATATAATTTACCATACACGTAAGATCAACATCTTATCTCATTTCATCTGTAAATGCAACCAAGCTGTACCTGTTTTCCTCTGGAATGTGAAGGGACATGAACTGCAAAGACTCCAGGCACTGCATTGACCAGCCCTGCCGTTCATTGATCCGTGATATATCAATCTTCAGAAACTGATTTGGCACTCTGCTCCAAAGAACATGGGTCAAAAACTGAACATGGAGACGAGGTGGACATTGAGGAAGTGGATTTTTGTGCTCACTTTTGAACAAGCCAGCTGACAACGGCATTACATTCTGAAAACAGAGCAAAACAGTAAATGCAGTAAAACAGTACTGCAATAAATGCAGTAAACTGGGGGCGGGGGGGGAATAAACTCAATCATTCATATATATAAATATTTGTATGTATGTATGTATGTATGTATACACACACACACACACACACACACACATGAATGAAATGGTCATTATTCATAAATTGGGAGAATAGGTTGCATACCTGCAACTGTGTTTGAACTGTCATCTTATGCATTCATACATAAAGATCATTCTGTGAAAATGTAACAAATATAACAAACATTCTAGAGCAGTGATCCCCAACCTTTTTTACGCCACGGCCCGGTATCCCCAACCTTTTTTATGGCGCGGCCCGGTACCGGCATTAGCTGGGCGCTGCCATCTTTTTTTGATGAAAAAGTGCTTCCGATGAGCTTTCTACCCGGAAAAGCTCACCGGAAGCACTTTTTCATCAAAAAAAGATGGCGGCACCCAGCAAGCCAGCAGCCCGGTAGGACTTGTTCCACGGACCGGTACCGGTCCACGGACCGGTGGTTGGGGACCCCTGTTCTAGAGGATGAGATGGAAGGGGGAAGAGTACAAAAAAAATAAGTTGACTGATGTGAATGTCCAAAGTTAGTTTTGACAGAAATGCCACAATTCAACTATATCTACTCTGTCAGTATGAAAATATAGAGATCTATGCAAACAGTATATGGTTTCCTAGCCAATGTGATTTTAATAGTCCATTATCCATGGATGCTAGCGATTCAAAAAGTTGAAGAGGCTTCTTGGATGAGAAGCGAAATGTCTTCAAAGAAAAATCAGAAAATCCCATTGCCTCTTGAAAAAAAAAACCTTGGGACAATCATGACCTGGATGACTTGAGAATCTCCATAGACAGGAGCACCATGGTTTCTTAGGGAGTAGGCAGTACATTCTGAGACAAAAGCCCAAAATAAGAAATTGTGCAGTCCTAAACTTGAATGGGGGAGGGTGGAATAGGTTCAGGGAAACCATATTCTAAAATCTCTCTTGGGTTAGAAGATTATAGCTTTAGTCTGGCAAGATTCAGTCTATTACGTTTAAAAAGGTAAAAGGACTCTATTGGATTCCATTGTGTCATCTTTGGACTTGGGCCTGATATTGCATGGAAGGAAAACCATTGTCCTATAGTCCCAATGAACTCAGGGACTGTGTGTATATATAAATATATTAATGCTGGCACAGAATCAAACCTTTCCATGAACTGAAGAGTATCAACAGAAGAACATATTTGTGGCTTAGAGTTGAATTGTGGGGTCCTTCGTGCTCTCTGAGTTTGGTTGTTTTCTTGTAGACATTTCATTCTCCAGGGTTACCTAGTTGGATAATGAAACATCTGTAACAAAACAACCAAGCTCAGGGAACACCAAGAATGCCTCTAAAGAGTATATCAAACATGATAACAAAATCTGGTTTGGAACGAAGCTATCAATAACCAGCCTATGTAATGTATAACATCATATTCTTCTGTGCCATTTGGCAGGGTTGGATCTTTGGAAAAAATATTTTGAAATTATTTTGGTTGTTCTATTCCAAGAAGATGCCAGGCTCTACTTTGACACTTGATATCCAATGGGATCCCATTGAACTCCACTTTATTCCCATGTTGTGTAGTATCTGCATGAAATTATTTAGCTTTTCCAAAAAGCTTTTTCTGAAAGGGATTGTACTGTTCCAACAAAACCAGGTTCACAGATTAGGAATTTCAGCTGTGGCTTGGAGTTTTGTTTTCAGTATTAAAATTAGTATATCAATTGTGATCTTCCTGAGCATATAAAACATATAATTATCATACCCTGATAACAATATAACTTAACTATTGAAATATGTTTTATATAGGACAATCCTTGAAAAGTGTCTGAACATTGCTTGTAGTAGAAAAAACAGCAACCAATCTGCTGATCAGTACAAAATATAAATGTGGTATATTTCTTCTGTGAGATTCCTAGTCTATGAAATAGGCTCCTACTCTTCCTTTATTTAGGAAGATACTTTTAAAAAGCCACTCTTTTGCTAAATTTTTAATTATAATGTTTGATTTTAATTATTTTTAAAATTGCATCTTTTGTCATATGTACAGGAATAAGAGTGGCAAAACCTGGGGCTGAGATTAAAAAAAGGATTATCTCTACATAGCCACAAATAAATTAAATACAACCTCTCTTGAATTCTGTTGACCCTTATCTAATCACAAGCAGATGTTAACCATCAGTTGAAAAGATTCTTGGGTATGATTAACAATAAATCAGTTTAATTGGACCTTTGCTGTGGATCTGATCTTTCATGTCTGACAATAAGCCACTTTGAGGGATAGAATTAAGGAAAGGCATACATTCAAGTATAAACACATAGCTAATGTCAGAGAGTACTTTGGTGATAATCTGACTCCTACAAATGCACTTATTCTGATTAAAGTCTGAAAATTGAACAATAAAATAAACAGCTATGGTTGTGTGACTAACTACTTCTTCAATAAAAGAAGTCAAATTCTAATTCATATCAGTGTAATCATAAAATATTCCAGTATGATAATGAGATGGTCAGCAGATAAATTTAATATATAAAAATAAAAAAGCTGATCTGCCAGATGCCCAATAGATAAAAGTATGACTTATGTCTTGGTAGTGTAGTGCTATTCCAAAACAGATACTTTAATTAGGTCTATCATACATTGGTGATACTGGAATTTATGAAGTCTTTTTCTTTTTAGAGATTACTTTCTCACACTTTCAGAAACCTTTCCTGTTTTTAGTTTTCTTGTTCAAAGAGCACAAAACTTATACACCCATCATTTTTTTTCTCTTGTTTTCATATAAAACCAGACCTTGGCATGGTTTCTATGGTCATAAAAGATAAATGGGAGATCTAAGAGAGAAGGGAATACATTGGACTATGATTTTGTTACTGATTTTGTATATAACTCTATATTTACTCAATGTTTTTCTGTCAGTATAGATGATTGATGATGATGAAGTGAGAAAGGAAATGTCCACATTTCTACCACTGGGTAAAGAAAAATTTATCCCACTTTTACTACTATTGCAAAAAGTTCAAACCAGAGTTTCAGGAATGTTTTAAATACAGTAAACTAAATGGGTGATAGTTACCTTTATTCGTCCCAACTCAAATTGGAAAATGTTTGGGCTTGTGGCTTGTGCAAATACTGCAGGGAATAATTTAGTACTTGGCTCCACCTAAGTAAAAAACAAATAGAAAAAAATAGTATGTCAAAGTAGGTATAAAGATAGTTTGCAGACAAGAACGTTATTAACCTAAGCATTTGCCACAATAAAGTTGTAAATCTTTCATAAGCTACCATCTAAAGCTAAAATTTGGGGAAATTACTATTTCCTTTTAAAATATAATAAACATGTTCTTTTAAAAAACTAATCAGATTTTGTTGGGCAACCTATAACCAAAAAAAATGCATTACCTGATAATAAGTGCTTAACTCTTTGCCATTGGTAGTGAAGGATAGGATACCAGTTGCAGCATCAACTAAGCAACCAATCTCTAATCCATTATTATTGCGTCCTTGCCCTGGACTCATGCTTTCTCCGGCACACACCATATAGCAGTTGCTTCGTTTAATACTGCATTTCAAAAGGTTGATAAAAGGTTAATATTACAAGGCAAGTTCCCAAACTCCATTAGGCTCTGCCATGTCTGTGATCTATCCAGTTCTCTTCAATATTAAAAAATATATTTGCTCACCAATGGGAAATTCCCACTAATACATGTGCAGAGCATTTCCAAACAGAGAGAAGATAAAGCAGCATAGTTTTCTAAGAGTAATGCATCTAAATTACATGATGACAGTTTTAATGTGTTTTTCTTTAAACCTGCTAATCATGAGACAATTTGTCATACAGTTACTAATAAATACTGTAAGCAAGCAATTAAGCAAATAAATACATGCAGATCAAATTAGACTTATTTCACAGCAATTGTTGTCAATGACTCAATGAATGCTTAACTCACATGTATTACAATAGGACTTCACAGAGAGCTAGGTCTAGGATAAGGATTCTTATCCAATACTCAATCCATTCTTGATGAAGTTAGAAGCAATGGCTAGATTGAGTTTTTTTCCATAAACCTATCTGGCATATTTAGATTTACATTTAATTTTAAAAATAAACAATAGATGAATATTAATACATTTCATAAGCAGACATAATGATAACTACAAAGTTGCATATCTTTCTCCAAAGGCCATCTCTCCTAGACTAAATCAAACCACCTAGTAGGGCTGTATTACTATTATCATTCTCATCTTTCCTACTACCTATTTCCTTAGCTTCTTATGATTATTACTTTTTGTTTGTATCTTTTTGTTTGTATGTTGATTGATTTTATTTAGTGTCCTATTATGATTTATGCTGATTGCTCATTTAGTATTCTATGACTATCACTGAGTATTGTATCTTATGATTTATGATGATTGTATTTTATGATTATGATCATGATTTATCACTTGTTGTTTGTATGTACACTGAGAGCTTATGCTCTGGAGACAAATTCTTTGTATGTCCAATCACACTTGGCCAATAAAGAATTCTATTCTAACCTGTTCTATAAATAGAAGGGAGGATGGAGAGAGCTATTGTGGCCTAAATCAAGATGCACACTACCCTCTCATTTGAGGGGCTATGATTGGGATATTATGCTACTATGACTGTCTGTAAAGTTACAGAGAGATGTATTTCTTAGTCATGCTAGAATAGGATAGAGTTATAATGTCCAGGAAACTAGCACTTAAATACACTTCTATTACAGAGACTAAAATACAACTTTTGGATTCCAAATTTAAAATTCCTTAAATGTGATAATTGTATTTTGCTCACAATTCAGTGTGGATTGCAAAATAAATGTAAATCTTCATTCCAATGAAGCCCCTTAATAGAATATTGAGTTTCAGGGCTATATAATTGTATGCTAACAGAAGGAAAACTTCATTTTAAAAAATTGAGTACCCATCAAATGAAATATAGCATAATATAATATTCATGTTAACATAAATAATTAATATGCATGATATCGATTTTAATAAATATTGCAATTTTAACTGGATAATATATTCACTGACTTGATGGAATTTGATATCAATTGTTCCTAAACAAAAATAAATAAATAAAGCCAACCTCTCATGAACTTTCCCTTTTTCATCTCCTAGGGTTACTGTAACAGTACGGACTCTGTCCAAATCAAAGCTTGTATCATATTGATGGAAATCAGATGTAATCCAGCCTACCCAAACATTAGCAGGTTCTTGTCCAGGAAATATACGTACAGAGTAATAATACTGTCAAGACATAAAAATATAACCCACAATATTAATATTTCACTTTGATCCAGTACTATCCTGATTTTTTTCCTGAAAAGTCCATCTTGTTCTGAAAATAACACCAAACTCAGAAGCTTAAGTAATTGCTAGAAGCAAAAATAGAATCTCTAGGACCATGTAAAAGTCAGAATCTTATCATTAATGTTTCTCCCAGTTTCTTCCCTATTAATTTACAGAAAATTTTGCTTTCTCATATAATAGGAGATATATGCAAATGCCTAAATTTTACTCTATGAGTCGTTCAATGAGGGAAATGACAGTTTCTAAATATGATATAAGAAAGAAAGAAAGAAAGAAAGAAAGAAAGAAAGAAAGAAAGAAAG